CGAGACTATCAAACTGCAGGTTTCTTGAATTTCCCCAAAAATTGAAATGGTAGTTAGGCGGTCGTCTAATTCAACTAAGCTGAGCTCCAACTTGCCGTTTTGGAGTTAGATTAGTATAATTTGCGGCGCGAAGCGTCGCGCACACCTTCAATTTACATCCAGAGCAATTTGCTCCCAGCGGCCGCGGGAAGCAAATTCGAATACATTTTTTCACTTAACACTTACTTATAAAAATGTCCTTATCTGCCTATCCTATTGCCCCACCCCCTAAAACTCTACAACCACCGTTTTTGCAGGACAAAATGCTGGGACTAGGGGTATATAAGTGGACGTACATAAGCGACTTTTGCCAAATATCATTTATGATAAAAAATGAATTTATGCATTTTGCAGCAAATTACCTCATCACCATCATCATCATCATCCTTTTCTTCTTCAAAAGTTTCGCTTTCAGAAGGAGTTTCTTTTCGTTTCACAAAAAAGAATCTCTTTGTGTGATTGTTAAAGGCCGTGAAATGGTCCTATTTGTTAATTAATGCTGCGTGAAATGTTTATAATAGGATGAGCAGGGCTTCTTAAACTTCGCAAGCACCATGCGACATATTCCAAGTAGTTTAGAGAAACGTGGGATTTTTCATACACCAGATGTACGCCGCATGTAGTCATGAAACCCTCACCGCAAGATTATAGCGGTATTAAAACTAAAATATGCCTTAGCTTTGAGCACAAGATGTGAACCTGACGCAATATTATACGAAATCCTTGTAAGAGAGACTGTTCCTTTAAAAAAATGTTTCAAGTTTAGGGCATCTGAATCAAGTGGAAGAATGCATACTATAAAATTAGTCATTTTGTCCAGTGTGAAGTTTATGGCAGATGACCGGAAGGAAGCCCGCACAGAGGCATTTTGTGACTGAGATGCTTGCGGATTATGCTGTATCTTCATTAATATTGCAATCCCACTTAAGTATTCATTTTTCGAAACAAAAGTGCATTAAATACTTTGGTAAGCAGTTCATAAAATGGTGCATCTACCCTGCATCGAAATAGTTGTTTCATGTAATGATAAGAGCTTTACAGGAAAACGGCATATTCCCATTGTTATTTTTCTTAATAAAGCACAAGAAAATTATTTGGAGTAACGAATTTGTTTTTTCTCGAATATTCAGATTCACTTGGATATAAAGGGTGAAAAGGAGTGCACAAAAATAGACCAACCGATAACAATTTCGTCGGAGCTCCTGCCAAACTACAAGATGCGGTACATCAAATTTACCGAATAATGCAGATTTCTGACTTATATCCCATGTGGCAGCAACGACGGCTGCACTGATATCACTGAACACCCTTATTTTCCACGATCAGTCTCATTTTTATAACCCAGACGAAGGTTAACGAAGGTCACGTTGCCCGAAATAACTGTGCCACCTGTTATTGCCTGTGATTCGGTATTCACGACCTTTTAAACAAACTTTACCTTTAATTCTCTTATGAGTATTTTGTTGCATTTTATTCAACCCTCAGATATTTTAATAAATCAAAGTGCTAGCCAGATTGGTTTGATCGAGTGAAAGTTATTTATTACTATTATGTAAAAGACAGTGCAGCAACAGACGGAGCCGTTGTTTGAACAGTAAACCTGTCCACTAGTAAGACGCGAACGACAAGGGTAGGTAGAATTTTAAGTTATCCAAATCGGTGATGAGTTTGTAGTCGAATTCG